AGTTCCCACTGAAGATAAAGGAAGTTGATGGACGTAGCCCATTGCAGAATCAGCCTAATAGTGATGAAAACACGTTGTGCTTCCAAGTACCTTTCATCCAAAGATCTCATGCAGCTTTCTAAACATTAATGAAACAAGCTTCACCTTTTAAGATAGGGATGATGACCTACATTAATAGTTTCCAAGGACCATTGTGATCATCTAGTCTGACTTCCTGTCTAACTCATGCCACGGAAGTTCCCCAAAATAATTCCTAGACCAGAGCTTTTAGAAAAACATCTAATCTTGATTTTAAAATTGCCACTGATGGAAAATCCACAACTCTTGGTAAATTTTTCCAATGCTTAATTGCCCTCACTACTGAAATTTTAAACCATATTTCCTAAGTTTGTCTAGCTTCAGCTTCCAACCATTGGATGATGTTATATCTTTGTCTGCTAGATTGAAGAGCCCACTGCCAAATATTTGTTCCTCATGTAGGTACTTATAGGGCTTGTCTATATGGTGCCATTGTCTGCAATAGAGGGGCACTAGATTGTGTGCTGACCCATGTGGACCCTGCTGGCATGCACTAAAAGTTCCCTAGTGCACATTAATGTGGTCCTGTTTCAAACTGTACTATGTTAACATGCATTAGGGAACTTTTAGTGCATGCCACCCGAGTCCACATCACCAGTTAGTACGCAACACGCTGGTGTGCTTTAGAATCTACTCCCCTGTAGTACGGATTAAGGTACCGTGTAGGCAAGCCCATAAACTGTGATCAAGTCATCCCTTAGACTCAAGAAGCTCAATTTATCGAGGCGATCACTATAAGGCAGGTTTTCGAAACTTTTATTCATTCTTGTGGCTCTTCTCTGAATCCTCTCCAGTTTGTCAACATCCTTCTTGAATCGTGGACAGCAGAACTGGACACAGGATTCCAGCAGCACTCACACCAGCGCCAAACCGAGGTAAAATATGTTATCTAATCCTACTTGAGGTTACAGATGCTGAGGCCCAGGAAAAGCAGGTGTCTTGCCTAAGGGTCACACAGCAAGTCAGTGGCAAGAGCCTCTGTCTTGACTCCCAGTCCCCCTCCTCTAACCACTAGACCACCCTCCCTCCCCAGAGCTGGGAACAGAACCCCAGAGTTCTGATACCCAGTCTCCCCCTCTAACCACTAGACCCCACTCCCTGCCCAGAGCTGGGAACACAATCACTTGCCCAGTAGTTCAAGAACTTTAACACTCAGAACCACCAAACTAACTGTGATTTCCTTCTGCACCTTGAATCCAGTAAGTCTTTGCAGGCAAAAAACCCCCCCTGTGATCATGGCAAGGAACTATCGGTTTTAGCAGCCACCAGGTTTCCGCAAGGTGAACTTTTTCATGGTGGTGGGAAGATCTGACCATTACCCAGTAACCTTTATCTATCTTAGGTAGATAGAGATCATATAGTCCCCAATACCATAGTACCAGAGAATGTCACCGTCTTTAATATATTTATCCTCAGCACATCCGTGGGAAGCAGGGGCGTGCTATTATCTTCATTTTACAGATGGCAAATTATGGCACACGGGCCCTGATCCTTAAAGGTGTTAAGGCATTTAACTCCCATTTAAATCAATAGGGGTTAGGCTCCTAAGTCCCAAGGTCACATGGGCTGTCTGGGGCAGAGCATGGATTTAAACCCATATGGACCACCCACCTCTGCATGGCACTCCCATGCCTGAGAGGCACCACACTAGTCGGTACAGAAACAAAGGGGTCAGTAGGACACTGTGTGCCCATCTCATTGTTCCAGGAGCTGCACGTGGAAATCCCTGGGCGCCAGAGAGCAAGCACATCCCCTGGCGCCGGCCCTACGCGCACATCAGACAAGGTCATTATGCGGCACAAGTGGGATGCCACCGGTGCACGTGGGTGAGATAGAGACAGAATTAATAAAAATCTATCTTATTAACTGCCTGACCTCACCCCATCGATCCCATTCGAAATGGCAGGAACACACACAAATCCCTTTGTGTTACAATAGAGAAAGGGCTCAGCTGAGCTCAAAAAGCCACCTAAATCCCTGGCGCAATAGTGACTCCTTTTTCAAAGAATGAAGCTCAATGGGGGAAAAAAAAAGAACTAATAATGCTTACAAAACTTACGCTAGGAAGAGAAAATTCCACATGGATTTGAGATTTTTTTACTTGGTTAAGCTCATAATTCCATAAAACGAACACTATTTGTGGTTCCTCTAATACTTTTATTAAAAGTTTTGGGTTTTTTCTTTTCTTTTTTTTAAGATCTGGAACAGTGGGGCATGTTAACTCTTTCGATGCCATGAAAAGTGAGAATGCAGAAATATTAGACAGATGGGGCTTGATTTTTTCACTGTCTTGACATGTGGTGGAATCATTTCCAAAGGGTGTAAAACAAAGGATGTCAAATGCTACCAATCTAATCTGGTAGCATTTTGCACCAATTTTCTTTGCCATGCTGTCAGCTCTATACCAGTTCCATGCTTATGCTATGCCAGTTCCATACAGCATTATCTACGCCAGTTCCATGCGATGCCCATGCCGTTTCATTCTACTGAACTCTTATTTCACAGGTTACCAGCAATAGTAATGGCTTCGATTCTTAAATCCACTCATGATCCAAGCACAGAGGCAGAGGCTGGAGGAATGAAACTGAAGCCACCCGCCGAGCACGTGCTGTGACTGCTGCTTATCACACTGTTCGGAAGTAGAGCTGAGCAAAAAATTTCCAGTTTGGTTGTCAAAATGAAAAGTCCAAAAAAATGTTCCTTTTAGATCAGCCTGAAATGACAACCTTTTGTTTTTTCTTGCTGAAATGATAAACTGGGGAGAGGCGGGGGGGGAGATTTTCAGGTCGAATACAATGTTTCGACCTGAAAAAAAAAACCAAACGTTTAATTTTTTTTAAAAATTTTTTTTAAAAAAAAAAAAAAGTTAAATCTAGCTAAATTTCCATACAAAATGTTATTTTGAAACAAAAAGTTGAAATGTTCCGTTTATACATTTTTGGAGTCCCTCTCCCCTTTTTTCTGTGGCCAAAAATATTTGCTGAATTTGACTTAAATTTGCAAACGGTTTTAGTTGAGAATCTCAGCTATTCACCCGAAACTGCATTTTTCGGTGAATAAACTAGTTAGCAAAAAATAAATATAAATAAAAAAAATAAAAAAATTCACCCAGCTCTATTTGTAATTGCAGCCTTGCCCAGACACAGGGTAATAAATTAATAAATACTGGGGTCCTTTTATTTGCTGTCTGGTGGTGGAGCTGTAGTGTGTGCTATTTTTCTCCACAACTTCTTCTTTCTTGCCACTTCCCTATTTGAAGTCAGCGACTTTTATAATTTTGTTCCAAAACTCATGATCATACACGAGGCTGTCATGAAGATCGGTCCCTCTGAGATCTGCTGATATTTGGTCCATGTACCTAGTCTTTGGTCTCCCTCTTGTTCATCGTCCATCCACAGTCACTACAAGAGCTCTCTGGTCTCTGCCAGATATGCCCATACCAATATAACCAAGCCTTCTTCAACTTGTCTTCAACTGGAGCAACCCACATTAGGCCCCTTACCATCTCAAGGGCTAGAAACTTACTTAAAAAAAAATACAAATGATAGTTGAGATTCTCACCTAATCACCTTCCTCCAGGCGCTGGGGCTTTAAGAAACACACCAAATATTGCAAGACTCAAGATAAGACTCCATTCCACAGGCAGCTGTGGTTTTTCAACTTTGGAGTGGGCTCCAAGAAACAGCTATGTTTCTAGCCACCATGTTTTACATTGTCCCTCTTTCAGGATTTGTGTCACTTTGCATGGTCAAGCAATGAACTGGCCCATACTTGCTGTTTCCTAATCAATTTCAAAACCAATCACCCTGTTGCAATTTGAGGACCGATTAATAGATTTAGCCAGTGTGTTCGGTCTCAGCATCACCATGGTCATGAAGCCACTGGGTATCTCCTGTAAAAGCACCCGGTGTAACTTCACTGTGGTCACAAGCAATTTGTGACTTTTCTTTTGCATCATCTTACTTGCGATTATAACAACTTACTGCATTTCTATAGCTACTTTAATCACGCAGGCTCCCACAGTGCTTTACTAACTATGCATATAGCAGAATCACTTCATCGAGTACAGAAATGCAACCCCCTCTGGGGTGGAATGTGATAACTGCTCACCAGTGCACAGCAACACTACGCAATAGTTTACATATTGCCTTGTCTCAGGACCGGCTCCAGGGTTTTTGCCGCCCCAAGCGGCGGG